ATGCGCCCTTGGGGACTTAATAGGCAGGTTTCGAGGTATTAAAGGAGGTAGTATAGCTGTACATACTCTATCCATTTGTAACCCACACCCCACTTGGTTTCTGGAACCCAAGGAAGGCTGGTGGGGATTACCCGCATTTTCTACAAGGGTGGAAATAATGGGAGCGATGTTGGGAACTCAACTGATTCTGGACGCGACACAGCTGTCTTGATGGAGGTCGACTGATTATGTCTGCTGGACGAATTTGTTTAGAAACAAAAATGACCTGAATACGTATGCATCGCTCTTGGCATCGATGAGTTTATGGAACAGTCCAAATAGTCGTTTTTTTTTCGGGGACCTTTTACTTGTTCGCGGACAAAGTCGTGAACGAGACCACTTCGGACATGCTCGGGTAATCATGCGAGTGGCTTGATCCGACTATACCCGCCTCGGACCGGACGACCCGAGTCAAGCTTTTGCTGGACCGTTATTAGTCTCAAGTCGGCGGCTTGTGCTCTCTGTCAACCAATACTCCCTGTGAACACCGATAAAATGCTCAGCCCACAATGCAAAGTCATATATCCCAGACACACAAAGTCCCAGTCCAATTGTCACTTCCCAACAACTGGTTGGCAGCGGCGGGTATGTGCCTGCCATACATGTTCTCCCATTCACGGAGTTCGGAAAGCGTCGACCCTCCTCGGAAAATTTCCAGGAAATAGATGTCCTTGCTAGCCGACGCCGCGTTGTTGAGGACAATTCCCAAATGCCTGAGCTGTCTCTACCTAAGTAGTCTGTCCCAAACTGTTCCCATCTCTTTTTTTCGCGGTAAAAGGCGCGGAAGATGTCTCGTCATTGAATGTAACTAAATTTCGACCCCACCAAAATGTAGAAGCTCAGGACTTGAATTACGCCCACAGCAGTAGGGAATAGCCGCAATTAATTGAACTAAAAGGTGAAGCTCTCTCCAATAATCTCCTCAGTAATGGTCCACAGTTTCTCGGCGTTGGCCTAGATGGTTGAGTTTAAATCGTTAGGACGTGATAGAAAGAAACCGGACGCACGGGGTTGGAACTGTGCCCAGCAACAGAGTCATTGGCAACGGAAGAATCCTCGAGGTAGGACCCAGGCTTGTCTGCAATAAGAATAATTTTAATTGAAAAAACGTCTGAAATAGGCGTCGGACTAACCGTTGAGACGAGGATCAAACGCTGCGGTGACAGTCCTAAAAGATGTGCGGGTCAATTCTTCAACTCTCTCGGAGGAGTTCGAATTACGTGGCAGCGCCTTGCGGAATGGTCTTCCACTGGTATTTCTCATGATTTGGGAGTCCGTCTGGGCCCAATATTCCTGTGGACCATCTGGGTAAATTATCACGGTTTGACGGACGAATGAGCCCGCACCGAGAGCTTGCAAATCAGCGACCGCCTCCTCGGTCCGAGCGATATTCGTGGCGATGACTGCAAAAACTTAGGACAACTGAAAGAAAATGGCTACAAGGACTCACTGCCAGGATGGAGACTGTACGCATTAATCGCGCCTTTCGATCTCTTCGACAGCTCGATGGCGAAGAGGATGTTCGCCGACTTTGCCTGGTAGTATGCGTCCGATGTCTTGTACTTCACCGGATCAGGGTGCGCGAGCAGTTCAAAGTCGACGCCGGTGCCGAGCGCATGGGCCGTGCTCGCCACGAAGACGACGCGGGGCGTGTAGCTGGACGTCGCCGCCGCGAGGAGTTTGGGAGCGAGTAATTTCGTGAGGAGGAACGGCCCCACGTGGTCCGTGGCAAATTGGTTTTCGACGTTGTCTACGGTAAGCTTGAAAGGTCCAATGGCCGCGGCCGCGTTATGGACCAGCACCTATGAAAATATTCAACAATGTGTGGGAAAAATACGAGGGTTGGCCGTACGTGTAAGGGTTCAGATCTGGCGGTTACCAACTCGGCTGCTTGTCGCACGCCGGCCAGCGACGAAAGGTCTAGGATGAGGGGGAACAGATTTGCAGTCGGCACTTCCTTCTTGATGGCCTCCTCTGAGAGCTTGAGTCTAGGGAAGTGTCCAACCCTGGTTAACGACTATGTTGAACGGACAATAAAAAAGCAAACCTCTCGGCGTTGTAGCCCGTTATGTATACGAGATTCGCATACTTTGCGATTGCACGCGCGGCTTCGAATCCGATCCCATTGAGGGACGTGCCAGTGATCAAAACTTTCTGGAGTCAGCAGAATAAAGTGCTTCGAAAATGCACATACCATTCTTTCCCTTGATTTCGGCGGTGAAGGCGGCAGCCACCTCGTCGGCCGTCGTGTCGAAGGAGAATATGGGTACAGTGGACATGGATCTGTTGGATAGTATTTCGGGAGTGGTTTGGAAAGTTTGGAAGGTTTCTGAATAATTTGTTCTTGCTAGAGGTTGAGTTATATTCAGATGGATATTCCGCCATCACGGAAACTGGATTTTAGAAATGAATAAGGACGCCTCGGGCGTTCCTTCCCCGCCGGTTTTTTTCATTGACATGACTCAGCGGATTTTCAATTCGGTCTGCTTCGGTCTGAGAGCCTCGGCGAGAATAATGACGGCCCGAGATTGGCCCGAGAGGGTGTTTCGCCATATGGACAAATCTCCCCCGAAAGAGCGTCGAATTGATGTTGAATTGGTAAGACAACGACGCGCGTCGCCGGTAGCAGGCGCTTTCAAGTTTCAAGCTTTGTTTAAGCTTCAAAAATTTCCGTTTAGAACGGAATATACCGAGTTGCACTGTCAAAGATGTGGGTCTTCTAGGAACGAGTTGCTGAATGCGACAAACAAGCGAGGACCGTATGCGGTACCCAAGATGGTGTGTGGTTGTGTTCCGGATCTGATCCGTATTCTGCCGATCAACATGACTAATTTCAACCACGTTCAACTGTGGAGACTTCAAGGAATCTGTGTCGAGAGAGCTCGCGCAGGGTTCAATAAATTCATAAGATGATAGTGCCGCAGGGTCTTTCTGCAGCCGCGGCCCACTGGTGCAACCATACATGCGCGGGCAGCGCGGGCCCAGATTACGACGCACAATACATTTGCTCGAGCCATCCTTGAAAATTGTTGACGAGCCACTTCCCAGGTAGCTGTCCAAGCGAGGGGCCAGTTCGTCACAATCAATTCAATTCAATTCAATGCGGGGATTCGAAGCGACAATGATACATCCTCGTCCTCCTCCTCCTTCATCTCCAAAATCCTCTTTAACAGGGGCAGCTCCCGTTCTACTCACGGGTCAGTTCAAAGATCTATTTTAGAACTGTGTTGCAGAGCACTCACTGCGCAGCAAGCGGGCCCGGCGCTGCAACCACTTTCGTTGCAGACATAGGAGGGAAAAGTTAGTAAATAATTTGCTTACTCCCCTCCTTGAACTTCGCTCCCTCATCCCCCCTCTGTTCGATTGATCAAACTGGTCCTTTATTCCAGGAAGAAAAATAGCCAGTCTGGCATTTCAGGGAATGAACGAGCGCACTCCGACAGAGCCAACAAATGCAAGACCTATGATCGACAGCTGAAAAGGATAGGCAGAGTATCAAATTTTCAACCATCAATCAACCATAGTAACAAGGCTGCGGAGCCGCCTGTGAACGCTACTCGTCATTCACATAAGTAACCGGAAAATTGCTTACACCGGCACATAACCCAAGGTTTAACCACTCCGCTGGACAGTTTCCTAATCTGCACTCAATTTGGCCCTGGATATGGCAGTTGAACTTGAAGTATGAGGCCGAACACTTAGCATAGAATTAAATTCTGAAAATAACAGTATTCCCCTATTGGCAGTTGTCTTGATGATATTCTTCAACGTCATAATGCCTCATAAATAGTGGTAAGTATGTTGGAATATGCATACAAAGTTTCGTGTATCACAGGCCATCCTACGAACCTCCAGAAATGAATTAATGGAGAGAAAAATCACCCCCTTATTCAAATAAATTGATTGAGCTTGGTTTTTTCCCACAAGAAAGGATATGTTTGTCCTTGGTGATATGCAAGCAATAGGAACGGTCCCAGAGTCGATTTGATGGTATATTTCCTCAGCTACAGTGCATCATACTGTCTGCACACTGATAGAAGGCGTGATTTTATTGCCAATATTCTGAAGTGGCTTGTGCCGGTTCTCTACGGCAATTTGGCCGAGGCATGCCTTCTCCGGCACACAGAAGGTCAGAGGACATCCAAAGTGAGGGAGATACACAGTGGAATCAGTCTCTTGGAAATTATTCCAGAGATCTTGGCTGGTTGATGATTGGATGTTGTGATCACGACAGGCACAGCTCATGTTTGATGCACCTGGACAGTGCCGATGAATGGTTTCTTCCAGAGCAAATCCAGCTGGTGACAGGTAGTATCCCTGGGTATGTTTTAGTAGTTAGTGGTTGAAATTTACCCACGTGGTTATGACGCAATAACATAATTCCCGGTTACTTTTGTGAATGATGAGTATATCGGCACTGGGACCATCGACTGTTGGTTTGCCTCATGCAGCGCGCTCATCTTGGCGCGTAAGAACAGGGGGCACAAAACTCGGAGGACCTAAACCCACGCACGGAGCTGCTTCATTTAGTTTATATAGCCTTCGGGTATAGCGCACTGTGACTGCAATAATATTCGCTCAATCTATCCGCATAAAGAAATTAACGTCACACGCGCAAAGAAATCAGGTTGAGCTCTCGTTAGATGATGTACGGCAGTTCAGGGCGCTCAGATTCACGTCATATCCCTCGACGAAACCGCGGGCTCAAACGCTCCACCCGCGTTCGGTGGTGTACGCCGTGTACTTCCCAAAGCGGCCACTCCGCCCATTACGTCAAATATCAGCCCAATCGGGATGTTCCCATCACTCTTCCTTTTTTCCCATTCGCTCGCGCTGCGTCGGCTCCACAACTCTTGTCAGCACTAACACAGCTGCTGAAGAAGGTATCAGGCTGTGTGGAAAACAAAAAGGAAGGCTCGTAAAGGAGAGGATCGAGAATTACTGGTCGGGGAAGCAAAACATGATTCGACCCAGGTTCGAACTGAGGACCGCCTGTGTGACGTCGATTACGCAAGTTATCGCTTACGTAAATTCGGTGTTAGACAGAAGTGATAACCAACTACACCATCGAACCGATAAGAGCTATGCAGATGAAAGAAATATATCGGATGGAGGTATTATTTCATGCCAAGTCCGTTACAGGCCTGTCGTCGGAGATCAGATCGCTCTTGCTCTTGCTCCTACCATAATTCAGGACAGTCGTCTCCGATGTATGCTAAGGAAGTTCAGGCCAGGTCCTTGCGCAAGAGAGGATCTCTCACAGTAGTCACGATATTGAGGTAAGTGGTCTGCCCGGCTGAAGCCGGAGGTTGAAAGAGCAAACAGCAAGGTGAAGGCAGCGGCGGCGCGGATGGCATGTAGACGAGTGGACATGGTGGTCATGGTGGTCCGTTTTCAAAGTGGGACCGCAGTCCACGGGTAGGTAGGTAGGTAGGTAGCATTACACGGCACGGTTCCGCTGTCCAACAGGTTCCTGAAGCTCACCGCATCGCTACCACGGAAGCACGCCGCTCTTCTCTTCCAACTTCGCGCTCAGCACGCCCCGCTGTCCAAGCACCTCCATCGTCTGAAGAAGTCCCCCACCCCCCTCTGCCTCTGCTGCGGAACAGTCGACGAGACAGTTGACCACTTTCTGCATTTTTGCCCCGCTCACGCTGCCGCTCGCTCAAGACTGTACGCTGCCGGCCGCACTGCCCGACATACAAAGAACCTCCTCAGTTCACCCAAGTCCCTCCCTGCGCTGTTCGCTTTTATCCAAGAGTCCGGCAGATTCCATGCCGTATACGGAGACTTCGCGGAAGTTTAAGCTGCCAGCCCAAGAAGCGAACAACAAGCAGTAGATACTTTTTAGATCTCTCTTTCTCTTTTTCTTTTTCCTTACTTATACCCACCTACGACCTCACGAACTTACCACACTTAGCGCACTTATGCACTCCAGCGGACTTCCCGCTTCGCGCCCGTCCTGAACGGTGACGCAAAGTTTAGAGTTTGGATTATCACCCATGGACCGTTACTATACATCACCTACAGACAGTACGAGAGTAGATAGTTTTGTCCCTACCATATGCCTTAGGCACAGAGGGGAATAAACCTTGATCCCCAAAAAAAAAAAAAAACGGTTCCGCTTAGGAACGCCGATTTGAGGAAGTATCCCGGTGTACTACAGGCTGTTTATGTACACCTTCGTCCCTCGCCTCTAAAAATCTCCCGAGCCGAGCTCGCGCACCCGGTCCCCCGTCACGCTGTAGAACCCGTTCGACTCCTAGAAACAAAAACCCAAGACAAGGACACACCTCCCCTCCTCCTGAATCCACACCTTTAAATGAACATTGGACTATCTCAATCAGGTATCTCGACTTTCTCCAGGTATTATTACCCCATGTCGTCCGGACAATTGGGTGGAAAGCAAAAAGCAGCCTAAGGAATCAGACGTCCATGGGAAATGTGACTCGATGGGGGTGCACTATGCCCCAGACGTTCGGTGACAGTTCTGCACTTCTTTCGGACTGTCACCCGAACGTCTGGGCCACCGAGCCAGGCTTATGATCATATTTCCGACTAAGTAACTCTTGGCTCTGCTTGGCTAGGGCTTCGATCCGGCGTCCCGTCAGATAACCGGGTCGCAAACGTCCCACTCAGACGGCACACGTGATGATTTAAGGCTTTGTAAAGGGCAACAAGATTCGGCCGAAAGGTTTAAAGCCTTAAAGCCTTAAAGGTTGAGGCCTTTACCCTTGGGGCGAACATTGAACTGTTTAACTTGCTGACGTCGGTGCGGGTATGGGAGCCAAATAGGTGTTAAAGTTCCTTTACTCTGCGGATCCTCGCAGCGTATGGCGTCGGTGCGGGTGGTCTGGACTCTGGAAACCAAATAGGTGTCAAAATTCCGGTACTCTGCGAGCCCTCGCAGCGGTTAAATAGCCCCCGCGTCGCGTCAGACAGAAGACAAGAAAGCCACTCAGTCCCCTGATTGCCCATGGTCAAGCTAGGAGCCCACGACTACGTCCAGACCCTGCGGGGCCAAACGCTCAGGTTCCCGAACCTCGACCTTCCCATGAAAGACTGGCCCAAAGGCGTGAGCCCGCACTACGAGGACCTGCGCAACGTACAGCATATCGAGCTGAAGAAGTATGTACCGTCCTCATCCGCCGCGCGTTGAGCTCAGAGGTTGCCACTTGCTGACGCCGACACAGGATCATGGGCGGCGAAGGTTTGGCATACGACGTCAGAGTGTCGACGGATTGTCCGTATCTTGCGGCTACATGGTTCCCGGATGCGCGTTGGGACGGGCTGCGACTGGCGTCGCAAGTTGCCACCTTTGTGAGTTCAAGGATATCTCCTCACTCAAAGCCTTTGCTAACCGTGACGTTCCTACAGCTGTTTTTGTTCGATGACGGTGCATCTCGTTCACCGATCCCTGAGCCGTCTAGCCTAACTGAAATGACTTGTAGACACTGACAACCCCCAACTGACCGATCTGGTCCACAACCTGGATGCCGCCAAGAAGTACAGAGAAGATGGCAGAAAGCTGTTCGAACGCTATCTCGCAGACGAGCCCCTTCTGAAAGGGTCGACGCAATCTGCCCTTTCGCCTACCTTGATGAGTATCGTTCCCATCGGAGAGACCGTTGCGTTCAGAATGACCGGGGAACAGCGCGCGCCAGTGCTCGCTGAGGTGAATAAATACATCGACGCCTGTGAGGCCGAACAGCTCTCCGAGTTGAGTGGAAGTCCCCCGACTATTGACGAGTACCTCAAATGTCGGATGCCTGCGAGCGCCACAGGGTTTTTGTTGGCCTGTTTGGAGTACGTGTACGAGTTTTTGTGGATTCTGAACCGGAGACTGATGGCGCTGCAGGTACATCGTTGATATCGACCTCGGCGATACTATTCGCAACGATGAATATGTGAGGGAGATTTTTGACGCGACAGTGTGCATCGGCGCGGTAAGCGTTCTTCTCATAAATCATTTACTTGAAAATTTGCCTTCTCCAGCCCTAAATCCCGAATCAGTCGCACGTTGCTGATGCGGACTACTTACAGATCATGAATGACCTGTTCTCGCTGAAAAAAGAGCTGCGGTATCCATTCTACAACAACGCCGTCGCGGTCCTCTACCACGAGCATCAGGACCTGCAGACAGCCGTCGACGAGACGTACAAGATCATTCTCCGCAGCATCGGGAAACTCGAAGTTGCGGCCACACGGGCCCTGGAGCGGTATCCCGCGCGCCGAGAGGACCTCACGAAGTGGATCGACGGGTGCAAGAGCATGTCCACAGGAAACATTGCGTGGAGCTTGCACATTGCACGCTATGGCCTCCAAGTCCCGAATCTCGATGGAACCACAGAAATCATCATATAACCTAGCTTTTGGCGCTATTAGTTTTAGAGGATCGTGTTCGCATATTCGCACATGTTTGGTTGTTACCCCCTGCTACTCGGAAGGAACGATGTGTTCGAAGGGACTGACATTCTGAGAACCACCGCTTCAAACTCGGTATCCTTTCTTGTTTCAAACGAGACCTTCGTCCGAGCCCGGTGTCCACTCTCAGGACCCCGGAATATCCCTTTGGACCCTAGCCCCCGTGCCGCCGGCGGACAAAAATCGGTCATTTTGGCCTCCAATCCTAGGTTCCAACCGGACAAAAACAAGATTTCGAGGGCCAACCAATCAACCTAGGTCCTGTCCAGACAAAAATTGGAGCAGGTTATGGCGAAACTTTGACTTGAGACAGCGTTTCGGGACAAAGAACATCGAAATCGTGTTTTCTCCCCCAATCACGACATCTGTGACCTGCTCACGATTGCTTAAGCAAAACGCTGCAAAACGCGTCTCAGCGGGAGTTTGCTTAAGCGGCTTAAGCTCTTTTGCTCAAGCCAAAAATCCGCTATATAGGCGTATAATAGGTACATTTTGTAGGTAAAATATGTGTTGACGCGGCTTAACCTTAAGCAGCTTAAGCAATTAACTAATAGCTATTTAATAAGAAGTGATAACCAACTACACCATCGAACCAATGAAGATGAAGGAGATGGAGAGGTAATATGGGATATGGCGCCCAAAATAATGCCAAGAGACCTGTCGTCCGAGATCATATCGCTCTCTCTCATCGCTCGCTGTGCCATTTTTCTGGCATGAACTTGGTTCCCTCGGCCAAGCCTAGGGGTCCGCCCAGTCATCGGGTTGATCCGCTTCAGCTCCCGGGTGGAGGGGTATTTTACTTCGGACATCGCTACGCTAGCGCTATCCCGCTATTCCAGCCTTCGGGCGTGACTATTCTTCCAGCCGTCAGGCGACCACCATCCCACTAGCATTAATTTGTTGTCAATCATGTCGATTTAATTCTCCCTTCCGCTATCTCTGCGACGTCCTTTCACGCGGTATTCATGCACCCCTGTTGCAACCCGCTCTGCCTATAAATCAGCTGATGCTACGATTTCCCTGGCAAATTCTAGGTGAGTTTGTCTTCGACTCCTCCCAATTGGGGATCCTGATTGCGTGTCTGCGTCCCCTCCTCCTGATATCCATCCAACGCGCAAGATGTTGAACGGAATGAAAACACTTCAGTCCGTATCTACGTTCGTAGATGGACCCGCAATCGGTTCAGTGTCCGCCCCGCCCAGATCTCTTTCCTTCCCCTTCCCCTTGTTAGTCTCAAAAGGATTCCCGTCAACCACATCATGGTTCTGGCCCTGGCCTTGGTCCTGGTCCTCATCCACCTCCACCCAGTCATCCAATTCAATCTCTTCTGGATCCGCTGGATTCCATCCCAGCTTCCAGACAGGGCTAGTCGCTACTGGCCCCAGGTCAATGTTATGAAAATCTTTATCCAGGCTGGTCCACAGGGCGCTTCGCCATTTTTGGTTGGTTGCATCCCATCCGCGGGAGATGTACTCCTTGAGCGGTAGATTCGCGAGCGTGGGCACCTGAGGGCCCGCCAACTTGCGGCGGACATCGGTGAAGAGCTCAGAGAGAGCGTTTTTGCGCGAATTGTCTCCTTGGATAGGTGCAATAGACAGTGAGACGGCTGTGGTATTGACCTTGGCAGGTGCATCCACTTTGTTGTCTGTT